CGTGTAGTACAAATTATATAAAGGGTAAAAAGAAACCTGTTTGTTTATCCTGTATGATTGCTGAAAGAAAGAAAAGGTTTTTCGTGGCAGAACTAATGGCAGTTAAACTATCGCAATTCATTTCTTTAGATGTATTCCTTTACCTACAAGCTCTTGCCTCTCTGTTATAAGGAACCTGTTGAAACCGAAATAACGGTTTAACGCTATAACTTAATTTTTGTTTTAATGTTCTCGTAGAGTAGGATCGACGTGCAGTTCGCTCTGGAAAGGAGGACAGTTATACAGGATTCTTCTACATTTGTCTACCTACAGCCACCTTTTCTAAATAAGACCAACAAGCCAGACAGGTTTTCGGGGTTTCCCCCACAGAAAACCGGTTGTTCATGTGTGTTAGCTAAAACCATTTCATGTCCACTTGCTTATCGTAATTATACGTGGGAATTTTAGATGCAAGACCTATGAGAATATATATATTGTATGAATGACATCATTCATTAGCTACCACGAAATGTCTATTATTACGCACGAGAATCGATGGGAAAGAGTTTTCACTCCTATCAACCAGAGTATCCACAAGATTTGAAGCTTGACGCTAACTTATGCAGATAATTCATGTTAGTAAATTACAAATAAAGTAATTTGAGAAGCACGAGTTATTATGAACAGAAAAATAGCGGATTTTTGTTTAATGTGTGACTAGGATCCTAGATTTTAAGATATCACAAAACATTTAGGTGAAGCATTCTGTCAAGTGTACGACTGTGATTAAATACAAACAATTATATTGATGAATCACGTGTATGAAAAACAATTATTGCTTTCTAAAACGCGCTAATTAAGTCTTGTTTAGTTGAGTGCTTGCTGTTTTTTATTTATCACAAAACAATTATAAAATCAGGTTAGTAAAGGTGCATATTCATTTCTAGCCCGAAACATTTGAGTTATCAGACAAAGCCTTGAATTTGTTTTCCATAAAAAAATACAAAATACGAATTGATCTATTTAAGGTATTTAATCTTTGAGTTATCAGTATGGTCCATTAGACACACTCACCGCCATTGCTTTTTCTAAATTATTAAATACCCCAAACCACTTGTGGGACCACGACTTTGGTGGTTACGCGTGTCACATAAAAAAATATAAAAAAAAGAAGCATACCATCAATATTGCAATTAATTGCTCTAATTACTTTTGGCATCACTTGTGTATTTTACATAGAAAATCAGTTACTTTACGCTAGGTGCTGTAACAACCAAACGCAAATTTCTTGATATGATGGAATACGTGGGGTCCACCGTTAGTTAACAAAAAAAAAGATGGTAAGGTGACGATTGATTTGTTGGAAATTAAACAAATGACGCGTGTAAGGGCTTTGTTGATAATTTTTCAGGCAATCTATATTACCTTGATGTACTATAATAGAACCGATGTTTTTCTGTGTAATTAATTTACACAGTATTTTACTGGACATATGATGCTGTTTGTTTAATTATTTCTGGTTTTGTTAGAAAGTTTGTGTGAAAGAGGTTTTATTTTTAGAGTAGAATGTTTGATAGTTTAAGTGGACATTGACCAGAGTGGCTTGGTGTTAACTTCTGATAGTGGACATTGACCAGCGTGGCTTGGTGTTAACTTCTGATTCTGGTGTTTCGTGTTTCTTTCCTCTTTTTTTTTGGTTGTATTTGTATCTCTTATGAGTGGATTCCTGCTACTGTCTGTCCGAACCAAAGGTAAAGTTGATTGTGTGTATTTGTCTAAATATGGTATTTTACTAAGTCGTTGAATCTTGGCTGGTAACGTGGGTCTGATTTATATTGACTGAAGCACAGAAAGCTCAGACTTAATGTAGGTATATAAAGTGAACAAAGAAAGTATGCTACACCAGCCGTTCGTATAGTAAGGTGTAACTGTTCAATTAAAAATTAGTTTACTAACATTGACCGATCCCTTACTTGACATGGGAGATGTACCGGAAGACGTGCAAAATTGGCCGAGATGAGGATTGAGGATGGGTCGTGACTGGGAAAGGGAAGGTCTGTGGCAGCCGAGTACCTTGAATGGTGATAAAATGGCTTTATTAGCAGTTGGTAGGGTTTTAACCCTTTAGCTTAGTTGGGAGAACGTTCGATCACGAGGACGGGCATACCAAGTTGGGCTGCCTTATACGTTATATTGTACCCATCTGTATTCTTAATAACTCCGAAAGAAGCTGGAGGCTGCTTGCAGTAGTTTCTATTCGAGTGTCTGTAGGTTGCTTGCAGTAGTATCTATTCGAGTAAACGGAGGATGCGTGCAGTAGTATCTATTCGAGTGGCTGGAGGATGCGTGCAGTAGTTTGTATTTGAGTGGCTGGAGGATGCGTGCAGTAATATGTATTCGAGTGGCTGGAGGATGCGTGCAGTAGTTTGTATTCGATTGGCTGGAGGATGCG